AAAGCTGTAACATGAGAGGAAGTGAAAAAATCAGGCATGGCGGACCACATATGGAGTGAAAAGGGAGATCACTGCCCTCTGTGGGATCAGGTTGCGATCATAGACAAAGAACGCAATTGAAAAATTTGTAAACTGAAGGAATCAGCATATATGCTAAGCCACAAAAATCTCCTGAGCCGACCAAGCATAGAAATGAATACGATATGGGAACCAGTAATAAGGAGTACCAGAGAAAAGTGATAATAACAACAAAAATTCATAAATTTGTAAAATCATGCAATGATAACAGCAAAAAATTGCAATATGAGCACTGGTAAAAAAATTTATTTGATTGCTGAAGACATTAGGTTTATAATACCCAGAAATTCATACACAGATGTCTTCAAGGACACATGGCACAGTGGATAAAGTTGTTGGTTAGATCCAGTGACAGGATCCAAGGAGTGTGAGTTCAATACCTGGTTAAGAGAGGGAATTAACAGGAGATAACTGACATCCATTAAAAATATGGCATGTGGAACTAGAACAACGGCTGAAATAAAGATGAGTACAATAGTCCAAATAATGTAAATAGTGTACATAATACCTCATCTCAGAAATATAGACAGATACTGAAGGGACGAAACGTTGTAATAAATATGGCGATAAAGATGAGGACAATAGTCCAAATAATGTAAATAGTGCACAGTAAAGACACTTAGCACACTCTTGCACATGTACACCAAGTTATAATGTTCTTGAGACAGAGTAGATAAGGGCGTTGGTTAGATTATCTATAGAGGTTCCATCAGTGACCTTAGCTCTTGCAACATTTTCATCCTATTAACACCTATTCTTAACAGCGACTACGATAATCAAAAGTACTTGAATATAACAAGATCATGAAGTTTGGACAATTTGTTCATAACTTCAATCTCAGTGTACAACAATTCATTTGAAAATTTAAAAAAATATAAATTCGAATAGACAGGCCTTCTCATGCTTTTTATTTAATTTTTTATCTATTCATTTATTCCCCCTCCCCACAGGAAAATAAACTATTCCATTATCTTGCCAGAAGTGTTAGGTTAGACAATTTTATTTGTGTCTGACGATTGTTATAAGCATGAAACTCTGAGTAGTATAGAGCAGTGAGGAACAACTGTAATTATTCTTAGTGTGTGTGTGTGTGTGTGTGTGTGTGTGTGTATATATATATAAGAATAATAATGGACTCTCCCGTCGGTTTCGACGTATGAGGATCTGACATCTTAATTGATTCAGTTATGAAATTTTGTGCAATAATCTTAAGTGGCACTTATGATCCACTAGTGATTTACAAAGGAGGCCACATATGAAGCAAGAGTGAGGATTGTGAGATGAGATCACTGTTAGATTGGCTGACCTTTTAGATCTTGCTCTTGCTTCTTGAAGATGATTCAGACAAGCAAATTGAAAACTGCTGAGCCCACTAAAACACATTGATCTCCATTCTACCTGCTCTAAGGCTAAGCGCTCAAGGGTTTATGTGGTATATTGACAGCTGACAAGTTACTTTTCAGCTTGTATCATAGCCATGAGCGGCCTACATTCCTGTAGCCCTGATCTAACTGGCTGTACATTAGGATCATGGGTATCCTGTCATCAGACATTATCAAGATATGACCAGTCCACCATAACTGAGACTGTATGAGAAAGGTCACGATATATATATGTGTGTGTGTGTGTGTGTGTGTGTGTGTGTGTGTGTGTGGACATGTGGCCGAGTGGTTAGAACGTTCGCTTTCTGGCCATGAGACCCAGGTTTGAATCTTACTATAGTCGATTTGTCAGGTAGGAGACTACCTGATGTTATCAGCCTGGAGTGGGGACAATCCCAGCATAAGGCACCTTTGGAAAGTGCCTGAAAACCATTCCACGGGTTGAACCAAGCCTTGTGAGTGAAATTGGGTAGACAGACCCCCTGGGGGCCATCAATAGCTATGCTAGCATGATGTCACAAGTCATCGTGACTGAGGTTTTGACTGTGCTGGCCTTGTTCAGATTGTTGATCATGCTAGATAACATGCTCTCTCTCAGAAACTGTAACTAAGGTCTGCTCAACATATTTGCAGTATAAACCACAGGTTGACTCTGTGGGTATTGAACAAATGTGACTGAGCGAGCGTCTGCAATAGGGATTGGCTAGCCACCCTAATAGACGGGTATTCTCAAATACGAGTGGACAGGTATTATATATATACGTGGCTTCTCATTATGCTATATATATATATATATATATATATATATATATATATATACCTAGGTATGATGAGAATGAATTTCTATTTGTATGATTCATTTTGAATTTATTTTAGTCTTGTATTGATCTTCTGGTAGTAGTATTATTAACATCTTATAAGGATGTATTGTTATTTAGTTGGTATTTTTGATATTTTACATTAATTGGTTTGATATTATTAATATCTAAAAATGAATGATATTTAACGGTTGCATATTATTTACCAAATAATTCTATATTATTAGATTATTTACTAGTTTCTTAAAGAGGCCACTTATTTATCTACTACAAAAATATTTATGTAGGAAATCGACAAAGCTTATAACTAGTTGGGTATTTGGTTAAATTAACTCTCTACACCCCAAAGTTTTTATTTCTTAAGAGAATTAACTGTCTAACATGTGTATATTTATTGTAGCTATTTGTATCAGTCTTTAAGTTAATGTCTGGCTGCTGTTAGATGTCAAATATTTGTCTTGACACATTTGTAAGATAACAATTTCTAATTTTTTTCTTTTTCCTCAAGCCTTTATTTATTTATTTTATTTTTAAAAATGAGGGTGTATTTTGCTTTTAAAACCAAATTAATCGTTCACTCACCAGTAATTTACAATCGCCTGAGGAAACACATCATTGTGTGTTGAAACTTGACTGCATGACTCCTGCATTCTTGGGAATTCCTTTTATGATGCAATCTTCTTTTGCTTGCCTTTTCAGCCTAAGAAAGCCTAACATTCCAAACATGAACCAGGCCATTATCAACCCTGACTGAATTATCTGAATGTAGGAGGGGCCAGTTTTTTTTATCTACCTAACACATCCAATAATTCAAGGAAGCAGCCCAAACATGAACCAGGCCATCATCAGCCCTAGGTGAGTTCTCTGAATGTAGAAGGGGCCAGTTTTTTTTATCTACCTGACACACCAAATAATCCAAGGAAACATCTGTAATGGGCCGTGTGTTTGTATGCATTGTGAGATGAACATGTGCATCCCCTGAAATAGGGCCCACAACAAATATGGCAGAATCTGAATGAGACCTCTCAAAAGAAATATAAAAGAAAATGTGAAGAAAACAACAAATATATATATATATATATATATATATATATATGTCTGTGTGTGTGTGCATGTGTGTACAAACAGGTATATGTGTATTAACAAACAATAAGGGTTACAATTGACAAAGATGGTAATGAGTGTGTATGAATGAATTTAGGAAGTTTGTGGCCAAAGTATGTGTGAGTAAATGTTCGTACATAGAAAAATAAGTGAAGAGTATTTGTTTGATTTTGTTTTCCTCACTGAAGCTGTAATGACAATAATATCGATCAAATTTATGAAAGCATTTAAAAAAAAAAGGTCGCAAAGAATCATGAGAAATTTTTTCCTTGAAATAGTTATTTTAATTTTAATTACCCTGACCAAGCCATGATTAAGGAAGATTTTTGACAATATCAAATTTAACCACAGAATTAAAGGCCCTATTTCACCAAAAACTTAACATAAATATACTAACCAGTAAACAATAAATATTTATAAAATAGAAATTAATGTTTGATAAAACTGGATTTTTTATTTATAATGAAAACATCATTTTTTTGATAGCTACAAACATGTATTTTTTGAGTCTAACTATGAAGATGGAAGAATGAACGAACAAGTCTTTTAGGATAACTTAATTTCAGAAACTCATTTCTCTATAGAGCTTGCAAAATATTGGCCTCACAGGAGCCAGTACACAAAGGGCAATGAAGTGCATGTCTCCTAGATCAGCAGAAGTTGCTTTAAAGGAACTACAGGTCAGGTGAGGAGAACCAAGAAAATGCTATTCAAACATGAACCAGGCCATCATCAATCCTAGCTGAATTATCTGAATGTTGGAGGGGGTCAGTAAAATGAAAAGTGAAAGAGAGGACAAGGAAGTATATACAGTGTTGGGAGAGTGCCCCCTAGGAACAATTTGAAAAATTAAGAAATTAAGGAGAAGTTAACTCTGACACATCCCAAACATGAACCAGGCCATCATCAACCCTAGGTGAGTTCTCTGAATGTAGAAGGGGCCAGTTTTTTTATCTACCTGATACACCCAGTAATTCCAGGAAACATCCCCAAAATGAACCAGGCCATCATCAACCCTAGCTGATTTGTTTCAATGGAGGAGGGGCCAGTTTTTTTTTTATCTACCTGACATACCCAATAATTCAAGGAAACATCCCAAAGATGAATCAGGCCATCATCAACTCTAGCTGATTTATCTGAATGTAGGAGGGGCCAATTTTTTTATCTACCTGACATACTCAATAATTCAAGGAAACATCCCAAACACGAACCAAGTCATCATCAACCCTAGCTGATTTATCTGAATGTAGGTGGGGCCAGTTTTATCTATCTACCAATAATCTAAGGAAGCATCCCAAACATGAACCAATATGGGTTACAATTAACAAAACCAGTAGTTAAATATGCGTGTGTGTGTGTATGTGTGTGTGTTTCATGGCATTTCCCCTGAAGAGAAAAACACAAATTCTCCAGAGACCTTTACATGGTATTGTCAGCCAAAAAATAAGAGAATAAAAGAGAATCAGGGAAGCAATCACCAAGTATTTATAAAACTGGAGAGCGTCCCCAAGTAACGGTTTGGAAAATTAAGTAATTAAGGAGGAGATAACTCCGACAATGCTAGGATGCTTCTATATATTCACCTCAAAAAACATAAAGAAATATTTTTTCCACTTACCATCTTCACAATATTTGCCTGTGGTCCCCAAGGGGCAGTCACATCGGGGTTCACTGTTCTCGACAACACATGTGCCATTGTTCTCACAGGGAAAACTGCTACATAACTGTAACCAAGTTACATCGACAGCCTCTGTCAGATACTCAGCATTTTCAATGTTTCCAGGAGATTGGAGGTCAGGTATCATCTTTAAATTTTGGGCAGCCGGTGCTTGGCCGTTTTTCTGCTTAACTGTCTTAATTTGAATTTCTTTGCCTTTTTGAATAACAATATCCTCCTTTTCATGGTCTTTTCTGCCAGATGGGGGGATGTCATGAGGGTGGACAAAAGGCCAAAGGTCAAGACTCTGAGAGCCATGTTTAAATTCACTGACTGAACTGTCAGCAGCCAATATACCATCATCATCAGGGCTGGAGAGAAGGAATTCCTTGCGAGGAGATCCCCAGTCATACGACTGTTTTGTGGTGTTTTTCTTTAATTTTAATGTCAGTTGTTCACTGCTTTCTTGGACCACTGTGAAAAAAAAAAAACAGGAAGAAAAAATATTATATTTAAGTTTTTCACAAAAGAATATTATTATCAATATTGAGAGAAGTAGAGAAATTTTTACCTTGACTTCAAAGTTGTACAGTTATTAGTGTTATAAATAAAAAGATATACAGTCACTGATGATATATTGATAATGTTATACAGTCAGTGATAACCACACACTTTTTTTTGCTACAGTAAGACCAATAAAGGAATATTTTCTTGATGCTAAATTAGTTTTTAAAAAATTAATAATATTCTTTTCATAAAGGTAAATTGATTTATGTATTTAAAACTATATATTATACAATTACTTTTTATATACAATTATTTGTTCATTGACACATACACACACACATATATGTATGTATGTAATATATATATATATATATATATATATATATATATATATATATTTCACACACACACACGTATGTATGTATATATATATAATTTTTGGACTCCCTTATTTCTGCCAAACAGAAAAAAAATGTAAGAACACTGGAAAAACTAAATAGAAAATTAATTAAATTTTTCTTATCTGCCATATTTTAAGAAATATGTTTGAAAGAATGGTTGCTTCCTAAATATATATATATATATATAAAAATCTAACAAAAAATCTCCCAATCATTAACAGATGAAGATAAAGAACTAAAATTGAAAATAAAATAGAATAAAAAATAGAAATAAAATAGATGCACAAACGAATTTGAAAATCAACAAAATAATTAAACAAACCTTTTATCAAAAAACCATATTTCTACCCAACCGAATCCAAATACATAACCCCCCCTCCAATATTCAATTTACAGAACCAAAAGCAAATCTTAAACTTAGGCCTCAGTTATCACCTTTCCCCAAAATACAACCTCAACAATAAAAAACTGAACTTGAAATTGTTCCGTAGTCTTTAACAACACATGCCTTAATACATACATATATATATATATAGTTATGGGTATGATAAAAAAATATACATATACACACATATACTTGCATGTACATATAAATATATTTCTTCCTCTGGTGTCAACTGTAAACTGATGAGACCCCCCAATGCCAGTCTAGTATTCTGCTTAAATTTTTTTAAAAGTTTAGGGCGCCCACCATATTGATGAGCCTCATTCAAAACAATTCAATCCATGAAAAAAATTTATAATGCTGGTGTTGTAAACAAGAGAAGAACTCAAAAAGGAGCATTCGGCGTTATATTTAAGTATTGGGATGGATTAATAGAAGGCGCCGTCCTCATCCGAATCGCGACACATTCGATCCAGAAAACTAATGCGAAGCTTACCTTTTAAAACCGTTCAACAATAATTCTTCTGCAGCAAAACTAAAATTTAAAAAAGCAATTTCATGTATGTAGGTCCTCCGAATTTTAATACAAACAATTATTTTTATTTCATGGTTGAAGAGAAACTTTCGATGGATTTCGGTTGATTTAATTTCATTTTTTTGCTGACCAAATTTATTTCAAAGTTATAAAAAATACTGTTGCTACCAAAAAAAACCGATTTATTGCAAGGAAAAAAAAAAATGGAGCAATAATAATAGGAAAAAAAAAAAATGGTTCACCTCCACCAGAAAAACAAGTCGGGATCCAGGTGCAGTAATGAAAATTTGGGAATCCAAAATTTCAGGATTGCAGGTTCGGATCCAAACTTGAATGTTTTTAATTTGCTCACAGAGTCGGCCTGATTCCAAAATGGTATGAAATGTTGAGCTATGGTCTTTTGAAGTAAAGTTGAAAAAGTGTGACACACTGACATTTTCATTTATTTATATAGTCTTAGAGAGAGACAAAGATAGATAGATAGATAGAAAGAGAGACAATATATATGTATATCGAGAGAGACAAAGATAGAGATAAAGAGATAGATAGAGATAAACCGAGAGGTAGAAAGAGAGAGGGACAAATCTAGATTGAGAAAGAGAAACGATGATTTTGAGAGAGATAAGAGAGAGAGAAATCTTGCTCACCAAATAAAGATTTAGAGAGAAATACAGAAATAAAGATATATATATATATATAAGTACATCGACTCTCCTAATTAAGACTCGGTCTAGATAACTAGCCGAGCCGCCACTATTTGTCCAAAGAGACAAAGAAAACTTGTGATTGATAGAGAATAAAAGGAAGAGATAAAACTACCCGACGATGAGACAAAGATAGAAAAAAACAGACAAAATGATATAAACCCAATGAGACGAGATCCTTTATGGTAACGTCCAGCACGAAAGAGAACAAAGATATTCAATGACTTGCTCAGAGAAATCCATAGAAATAATAGATATATATATATATATATATATATATATAGAGAGCCTCGAGAGAGAGAGAGAACCAGAGAGCCAGAGAGGTTGCTCATTGATTGATAGAGATAAAGGAAGAGATAGAGAGAGAGAGACAGAGAGAGAGAAAACACGACATCAGTGAAACAAAGAAGAGAGATCATGAGACCAGCAACCCCCGATCTCACCACAGTGAGAACCCTTCTTGCGTTGATTGAAATAAAGGAAGAGATACGATCAAATAAGAACAAGTCTTCCCCCTGTATTGTATAATGGTCTAGATTTGATTTTCTTTTCTGTAGTGAAAAAATCTTTATAAATTTAAAATGTTTTGCTATTTTAACTTCAAAAATTTTCTAAGCAGAATGATAGAGGATTTAGTTTTGATTTTTAAATTCTTTGTGGTTGTTTTTTTTTTATTGGTCATGGAGGCATCACATGTTTATTTTATGGTCTTAGAGTGGTAATAAAATAAGAACATCCCATCTCCCCTCTCGCTTGTAATCATCCACTGTAATAAAATAAATGTTTTTCTCGAAGCTCCACCCCGGTCAGGTCATCTGACGAAGCACTGAAAAACTGCTGAATTAGTCAAATAAAGGCGTCCCACATAAAATATCCTTCTACTTAGTAATATTGTGGTATGTAACAATTTTCAAATTACACACTATTCATAAAATAAACATGATCTCTGCACAAGCAATGAAAACAAATCATAGAATTTAAACCTCAAACATAAATCTGAATAATTCCATTTCTTAAATTTATGATGAAGCTAAATAAAGAATGAAACACATTACATTTATGAAAATAGTTTGTCTTTTTTTGAACCAAACAGGTTCAAACATAAAAATCAAGTATTCTTTTTTTTTTTTTTTTTTTTTCTCTCGATATATATATATATAAGCAATAAAAAAGAATTTTAACGAATATATATGGTGTCCATAAAGTTTGTGTGCAAACTAGTCAGCGTGACTTTAAAAAAAATTTATAAACTTATTTGTATTTGCGATAGAAATAATTTGTAAAAAAACAACAAGGATTAAAAAGAAAGAAGTAAATCTATATTTTTAAAAAGTTTTTATTGAAATTTTATTTAAAAACAGTTTCTACATGTCCCCCATCATTAGCAATACGAAGGGTAATACGATTTTGAAGTTCAAATTGATCGGAAAATTGCATTAATACTTATTTTTAAAAAGTTCCAACTGATTTAAAAACAGTAATGCCTGAAATCAAACATTAGTTATTTTAGCTATACTTAAAACTAGGTACATTAAATTTTATAACATTTTTACAGATTATTCCTAACGCAAATACAAATAAAAGTTATACACTTTTTAAATGTTGAGCTATGTCTTTTTGCACACGAACTTTATGGACAACCTGTATGTATATATATATATATATATATATATATATATAATTATATATATATATATAGTGTTACATAGTAGAACATGCACATAGAAAGAGACGATCCAATAAAAAATTGAGACATCTTCATTTCAACATTGATTGATAGAGATAAAGGAAGAGATTTTATTGAAATAAAGGAAGAGATACTCATCAAGGTGGGGAATTATTTAGGTGACTTTGTGGTTGTTTTTTTATTGGTCCATAATTTTATTTTATGGTCTTAGAGTGGTAATAAAATAAGAACATCCCATCTCCCTCTGTAATCATCCACTGTAATAAAATAAATGTTTTTTTCGTGCTAAAGGAATTAGTCAAATAAAGCTTCAAAAGTAATATTGTGGTATTATCCACTATTTTAAACATGATGTTGAAAATGAAAACAAATCATAGAATTTAAACCTCAAACATAAATCTGAATAATTTGTTCTTAAATTTATGATGAATAAATAAAGAATGAAACATTACATTTATGACTTTGTCTTTATTCAAACATAATCGGTATTCAATATATATATAAACTATATATATATATATATATATTTTTATATTCAGTTCAACAAAAAAGATCCTTTTGATAATGGCAAATAGTAATAGATTTTAGTTGAAATAAAAATTTTATAACATTTTACAGATTATTCTCAAATAAAGATCTACAAATCATTGACAGTTTTCCACTAAACATCTTCATTTCAACATCAGGAAAGAAATCTTTGTATGAATGCAAGAACAATTTAATAAAAAGCCTAATTACAGTACCATATCAGTTATTTTCTATGAAAGGTGTGTATATATATATATAACTCTCCAGTTGTTTTTGATGTATGAGTGTCAAGCGACTCAGTTTCTAGGAACCAACAGCCAGACACCCCCCTACAAGTGACTTGATTACAGTGGTGAACCACACTTTTTGAAGAGCCGAATACAGAGTCCTGGTGCACCGTG